ACTGCATGATGCTGAGGTTTTGGATACATATAATCCCATCACTGAGGTACTAAGCATAGTATGTAATAGTTTGTTTTTAAACCCATGTCCCCTCCCTTCCCTTCTTCTCCTTCTGGTAGCCCTCATAATTCACTGTTGCATTATTATGTTGATGAGTACCCAATATAAGTACCCACTTAAAACCAAGAACATATGGTATACGGTTTTCTGTTTCTGCATTAATTCATTTAGGATAACGGCCTCCCGATGCATCCATGTTGCTGCAAAAGGACTTGATTTCATTCTTCTCTATGACTGCACAGTGTTCCAATGACTGTATGTGTACCACATTTTCTTTAACCAATCCACCATTGAGAGGTATCTAGGTTGATTCCATATTTTTGCTATTTTGAAAAGTGCTGCAAAGAAAAGAGAGTGTACGCCTTTTTGATGTAAATATTTGTTTTTCTTTTGGATATATACCAAGAACATACACCCAGTAATAAGGTTACTGGAAAATGGGAACTGTTTTAAGTTATTTGAGTAATCAACTGCTCACCACAGTGGTTGAACTAATTTACAACCCCCTCAACAGTGTATATTCATTCCCTTTTCTTCACAACTTCACCAGCATCTGTTATTTTTTTAACTTTTGAATAACAGTTACTCTGTATGGTGATGATTGTATCTCATTGTGGTTTTGATTTTAATTTCTTTGATTAGTGGTATGGAACATTTTTTTGTTTGTTTGTTTGTTTGATGGCTGCTTGTTTTTCTTTTGAGAAGGATCTGTTCCTGTTTTCTGCCCACATTTTAATAGGGTTATTATCATTTCTTGCTTGTTCAATTGCTTAAGTCCCTTATAACTTCTGGATATTAGATGTTTGTTAAATGTATAGTTCGCAAATATTTTATCCCATTCTGTATGGTGTCTGTTTATTCTGCTGATAGTTTCTTTTGCTGTGCAGAAGCTCCCACTTGTCAACTTTTGTTTTTGTTGCAATTGCCTTTGAAGACTAAGTCATTCTTTCCCAAGGCCAATGTCCAGAATGGTGTTTCCTAGGTTTTCTTCCAGGATTCTTATACTTTAAGGTTTTATGTTTAAATATTTAATCCATCTTGAGTTAATTTTTGTATACGGTGCAAGGTAAGATCCAGTTTCAATCTCCTGCATGTGGCTAGCCAGCTATCCCAGCACCAATTATTGAATAATCATTTCCCCATTTGTTGTTTTTGTTGACTTTGTCAAAAATCAGACAGCTGTAGGTGTGCAGTTTTAATCCCACAGGCTTCTCTATTCTGCACTATTGCTGTACCACAGATCTTTTCTAAGCCCAGCTTAATTTTTGACTCTATTCACTTTGGTTTTTCCTCACTCTACAGTATCATATGCTATGCAAAAAAAAAAAAAAAAAAAAAAAAAGAAGTTTCGTATTTCTGTCTTTATATTTACAAATATTTAAAGTTATTGAAAAAAAAAATATCCTTAGTCCGGGTAAATAACCAGTGATCAGGAGAGCAGGTATAAGAAGTAACCTAACAAACCATAAGTTATTGGTCAATTGGAATTCATAAAGGGAGGTTTCTTCAAGTGGTCAGGGAGCCAAGGAAGAAAAAGCAAATGGATATGATATCCTAACTTGTTGATTAAGTCTTTAAAAGAGCTATTCACCTATCTTTCTTTTCTTTCTTTTTTTTTTTTTTTTTTTTGAGACAGAGTCTCACACCATCGCCCAGACTGGAGTGCAGTGGCTTGATCTCGGCTCACTACAACCTCTGCTTCCTGGGTTCAAGTGATTATCCTGCCTCAGTCTCCCCAGTAGCTGGGATTACAGGTGTCTGCTACCATGCCCAGCTACTTTTGTTGTTATTGTTGTTGTTGTTTTGTATTTTTAGTAGACACAGGGTTTCACCATGTTGGTCAGGCTGGTTTTGAACACTCCGACCTTGTGATTCACCAGCATTGGCCTCCCAAAGTGCTGGGATTACAGGTGTAAGCCACCACACCCAGCCAATTCACATATCTTTCATTGGAATAAATAGTTACATTTAAAAGATCAGATGAAATCACACAGGAAATAATAGAAAAAGTTGCAATGCATACCCATATAGGCTTCACCTAGCCAACTGGTAACAAGGTGCCACATTTGCATTACATGATCCATTGTTGTCTCTCTTTACATACACATATACCCTATAAACATAGGTGGTAGCCATCTTGTAGTGGTAGTTAGTGGTAGTTATCTTGTAGTGTTTTAATCAATTCGCATTTTATGCATTTCTAATGACATGTCATTATTAACTTACGAATTCTAAACCCAAAGAAGTTTTCTCTACATATTCCATTTAATCGTGTTTGTATTTTGTAAATATTAAAACATAATTATCAACTAATGAAAAACTTGAAGCATTCCATATGTTCAGTAACAAAAGAATGATTTAGTAAATTATGATACATGAATGTGGTGAAATTTTTAGAGTTTAGACTACACCATAGGTAGACTCAAATAAAAAATAAGAAGAACATATGAGAATGGCACATAAAGTATATTATCAGCTTTACAAATTTCAATGTGTGCTGTTACAAGCCTCAAACCATCAGATAAGAAATTGAAAATAAGGACAATTAATTACACATACACACACAAACATGTACACACACTGCAAAACAGCTACCTAATTTATATGGTTTAGAAAAAAACTTTCAACATAAGCATGGCCCTACAAATATGCTATCCTTGCTGCACATTTGCCACTATGTATCTTTTAATTTTTGAAAGAAGATAGAGGAATAGGATTATTTTTCTTTTTTATGACATGTAAGACCACATTTGGTTGCTACAGTTTGATTGCATTGTCGTTCTGTAATTTATTGCTTCCTTGGGCTCTTGTTCTTTTTGTAACTGCTAACTGCCTAATGAATTTGTCTCATTCATACCTTGCTTTCAGTTGCCTTGTTTCCTAGCAAACTGCGTATATCCCATTTTTGCTTGAATCAACTCTCTACTATCTTTTCACCATTTGATTCTTCTGTTTTAGCACCTCAGCAGTAGTTATTTTAGTTGTAACTAAATTTCTTTGTTATTGAATATGGATGGTGAATAATAGAGAAGTTTAGACAGGATAATTGTGAGAAGACTTAAATTCCTGTCTTGAACAGTTTGAAGGAAAGCCATTGTTTTTTCATATGGAAAGCTGAAGGTATGCCATCGATCTGAATTAATTTGTCAATATGTATGCTAGTGTTAGAAGAATGCTTTGACAATACGTATTTATAAAATAGAGTTAAATATTAATTTTTCCAAATGGACTAATATAGTCTTATCAAAATTACTAAATAATAATGCTGAGGCATTGTGAATAAAGTACTGTTTTTGTTTACTAGGCCTGACATAACAAAATACTACAGACTGGGTGGCTTATCCAACAGGAATTTCTTTTCTCATAGTTCTGCAGGTTAGTAGCCCAAGATCAAGATGTTGGTAGGTTTGGTTTCTCTGGAACCTTTCACTTTGGCTTGCAGATTGCTGCCTTCACTCTGTGTCTTCATGTGGGCCTTACTCTGTGTGTACGTATCCCTGGTGTCTCTTCCTCTTTTTGTAAGGATACCAGTCATACTGGATGAGGGCCCCACCCTTAAGGTTTCATTTAACCTGAGTTACTTCTTTGAAGGACTTTTCTTCAAATGTAGTCACATTAAGGGTTAGGACATCAACATAGGACTTTCGGAAGGAAACACTTTACTTCAAAACAAGTACATGTTAATTAATTTGAATCCAGAACAGATTATATTTTTAAATATTTTATTTGCTTTGAAGGGTCTGAGGCCCTTAAACACAAGAAACTTAAGTTTACACTGGGTTATGGGCTGAATTGTATTCCCCAAAATTCACATATTGAAGCTCTAATCCCCAGCACTTCAGAATGAGACTGTAGTTGGAGTGCTAAATTAAGTAAGATTGAGGCCATTCACCTGGGTTGTCTCTGTACTTTGAGTTCCTAAATAACAAACAGCAACCTGACTAGTATGTAAATAAGCTGAACACTAATTTAGAAGTATAATTCACAGCTAAGTTGCAGCCAATTACAGGCAGCCAGCTCATCATACCATGCCCATAGAAGGTAGATGCCTTGCTGTAGCCAATCCGGTGAGTCATCACTTTGATTTCTGTGTTCATCCTGTAAAAAGCTCCATGTTACTGCTGCTGGGCAAAGCTTTCTGAACAACTTCTCGTTTCGAGTGCTGCCTCATTCGTGAATCATTATCTCTTCAAATAAAGTCTGCTAAATTTAACTAGTCTAGTTTTTCTCTGAACAGGAGAAAAGGCCCTTAAAAAGGTAATTAAGTTAAAATGGGGCTGTGAGTATGATTCCTATCCAATTTGATGGGTGTCCTTACTGGACATACAAAGAGACACCAGATAAATGCGTGCACAGTTTGATGACCCTATGAACAGGCAGCAAGAGGGCAGCCCTCTGCAAGCCAGGGAGAAAGGCCACAGAGGAAACCAACCCTGCTGGTATCTCGATCTTAGAACTCCAGCCTCCACAACTAGGAGAAAATAATTTCTGCTGTTTAAGCTACCCAGTTCGTGGTATTTTGCTATAGCCACCCTAGAAAACTAATACACACTGATTATATCTACAGGAATAAAAGTCAATGCAGAATCTTTTAATAAGCAACACACAGCTTTTATCTTCTTTCATACTCAGTGAACCACACTGTATGCATGTCTTTCACATCTCCTGAAAAAAAATTCCCAAATACAAGTCCAAACACTGTTAAATATACTTAGCATAAATTATTAATATTATATCCCAAACAAGCTGAAGAACAGATCACTTAAAATGAAATTCCAAAAGTTGTTTGCACTTCTAAAAATCCTATAGTTTCATATTGTCCTTAACTCAGAACTAAACAGTTCAGGGTTGCAAAAAATTTTAAATATTTGTGAAAATAGAAATATAACTGCAATTAATTAAAGATTAGAATGTCTCTAGCATTCAAAAATAAGCCTTACCTTTGTTTTGGGTTCTAGAATTTTTACTCCATAAATTGATATTTGCAACTCCACTTTAGGAATTTTCTGGCCTTCGGATTTCTTGATATGTCTTGCAAACTGCAAATGAAAAATTATTCACAAAACTACAATTCTATTTCTATAAATAATGAACACAAATAAATATACATTTGGAGTTCATATTCAATTTCAGACTTTAAGTGAATGTTTGCCAATCATTAAGCATTCTATAAAGATAGTCTCAAAATATTTAAAAATCTTAGCAATCAGCTATTATAATTCACACTGATTTTTAGCAAGTTTTTAAATTATGGTTTTTAATGCACTTCTTTCATGGTATTTACAAAAATGTATTCATACCAGACAATTGAGAAAACTCAAAATACTTTGAGGGAAGATATGCAGAGATCAGTTTGTTTTTCTGTGAATCTTTTGTTTTTATTATATTCAGAGAATTTGCAGTTCATCAGCTATTAAATAAGCCCTCTTTGCCATTTCTAGGTATTTACCTAGTTTGAAACACGATTCTATCCAACCACATCAATAAACAAAAAGAAGTTGATTACCATATCCAAACTGAAGTGAAAAATTGAAGTAATTATCGCAGCTAAAAGACTCAGGTATAGAACTAGACTCAGTCTAGAACTATAAATATTGTGAATATCTTGAAAGCACAACTTTTTTCAAAACTTTTGTAGCAGAATATATCGTACTTTCTCACTGAGTTAGCAGGTGTATGTAAATGCTTGTTCAGTTCCGTTATAAAATCAAAAAGAAAATCAGAATACTCATGTGCTTAGCAGATGGAATGTCTGTTTCTCTCCTAGCGTTCCTTAACTTAGTGGGGGGAAATTTCAGGAGCCCAGTTAAACTCGAATGTTAAACAATTAATACTATTTTTAAAAACTTTAATTTTAAAATACAGGCACAAACACAACATATATATATATATATATATATATTCTATTTAGCATACATATATCCCATGCAATATTTGGAACATATTTATACTAAAAAATATTTGTATGAAATTCAAAGGTTACTGGGCATCTTGACTTTATTTGACAATTTTACTCTCTCCCTACATTCCTTCTCTCCTCTGTGACCATCCCAACCATCCAACTTTTTAAGAAATGGAAAGAAAACTAACAGAAGAAAGAATTTCTCGCCCCTCTTCTAGGGCTTCAAAAAGTTATTTCCTAGTGTACCTTTTTTCCTCTAAGGATACAGATCATCCTAACTTGACTCAAAATTGATGACATGTAATGCAAGACAGCATTTCAGTCCTCTTGTATGTCATAGTTACTTGCACTGTGTATTTCACTGTAATTTAGGGCAGATGTGAATACACAGTGGTATAGCTCCATCCTGGAGCACAGAGTGATTAAAAGTCTGTTTCTCTTTTCATGGCTTTGCACGGCCACAGAGAATACTATAATAAATACATATATGAATGCCTTTAAGTGTCTGCCTTCCTATCCCAAGGGGTACCATTTGTTTTATTCCATTTTGGGTGGTATAAATTTTCAGGTTGCTGTCTGTCTTGCTCTGTGAAGTTAGATTGCTATTTTTGGTGTACAGCAGTCTTATTGCTACACATGCTACAACTGACTTGTGCCAGATAATTTTCTTTTTTGTCTTTAAGAAATTGCCAGTTAATTTTCTTTTTTATCTTTAAGAAATGTATTCTGCCTGAGTGTAGATCTTTAAAAATTATCTCAGCTCTCTTCCAAAGAATGTGAATCAATTTTATTTTTCCTTCATAATTTCTTTAAATTAGCATAGTTAAGCAATTTGAAGGTTTTCAGATAGGAAGGCTTACAAAATAAGTCAGCTGCTCTCCACCTACGCGAATGCATCTGGATAAAGCAACTCCCACGGTCGGCTGCAGAGGTACTCTCAGCTTGTTTCCTAGGTACTGCTGTTTTCCAGAAACAGACTAAGCATGGCTTCCGAAGCTCCTTCCACATCCAGACTCAACTATATTCCTGTGATCTCTGACAAGAACTGTGCAACCTTTTCAATTTCCCCCGCTAAAATGTCTACCACAAAACAACCACTATTATTAAACTTATCTATTGAGAATGGAAGTAAAAATGGAAGAACTAAAGAAGGAAGGAAGTACGGGGTGAGGTAGAAAAAGAGGTAAGAAGGGAGGGAGGAGGAAGAAAAGGAGAGGGGAAAGAAGAAGAGAATGAGAGAAAGAAAAATAAAAATAAGCACAGTATTTCTTATCTAGGTTTTCTGAAACTTTTCTGTCTGCTTCATAACAGGATGAAGTAATTGTGCTCAAAATACCTTCAGATTCATGCAATCGCATCTTCTTATTTCAAAGATGGGAAATGTAAGTCCCAGATAAGCTATGTACCTTGGTCATAAAATGGGTTTGTAGAAATTAGTCCTATTAACTAGATTTGCAAATATTCACTAAATAATCTTTTTCTTTTATACAACGTATTTTCTGCATTTAGAACAGAAAATTCCCAGTTCTACTTTCATGCATATCAAGGTTCATGCTGGCTATTGGCCTTGATTTTTGAACATACATTACACAACTCTCAGGCCTAAGATTATATTCATTCAATCTGTATTTTGCTCAGCTTAATATTCTCCTTCCTGCCTTTTTTTCTAAAACTTAAGCTAACTGTAACCTATAGTTTGGGTGCTCCCCTCTAAGTGCCATTTCCTACTTATAGACCTCTTGCTTTCCTAATATTTCTAATTAATCTTACGAAGATATGCTGATCAATCTTCATAAGATTATATTCTATTTTCTCCCTATTTGCTATTTTAACAGTAATGCTTGAAAAGAGTCTTTTTCACAAATTTCTTTCAATGTCCGCTTCAGTGAATTTACTTCTTGGTAGAGCTAGATGGATAAAGTGATCTGCCATTAAGACTTGAATATAATAATCCAATAAAAATTATTCAAAGGTAGTGATGCATAAGCATTTTGGAGAATGACTGGATACAACAAAAAAATAAAATCAAGCCTTTTTCATCATAAAATGATGGGGAAGGATGGAGTAATACTTGAAATACATAAAGCATTTCATTAAATATATACCACTGATAAATGGAACTGTTAAGGAAAATTTAAAGGGAGCACAACTGGGCTTCAATATTATCATCATACAATTTCTATCCATTTCTCAGAGGACTTTTTAAAAAATGAAATGAAATACATTGAGTCCCCAACATTTGTATTAGTTGTATTAATAAAAATATATAAATCACTATTAAAAATAAAATTAATTCAAATAACAATACTATTCAATACATAGACATTGAAAGGGTTTAAAATTACTGTATTTTAGAAAACTTGGTATTTTCTTAAATCTCAGGCTAAAACATGATTAAGAAATAGAAACTGTTGAACATGATTATGAAGTAAAAGAACATGCTATGATAAATATAGTATCTCAGTATCTGAACCCTAAAAGATCAGTACTTATAAAAACTGCTGTATTTATTTAAAAATTTATAAATGTAAATTCTCTATAAAATGACTGAGATAGAACATAAAATATCAAAGTTTTAAAATTTTTTGAAAATTAAGCAGGCATAATTAAACACAGAAACATAAAAAATCTAATATTAAAAATTCTTTAATTTTTCCATTAGCTTTTATTCTTAAATTTTAAATTCATTTTTAATGTCAGAAGCTATTACATTAACATTGCTGAAAAAGGAGTAAATATAAATACAATGTTACCTTATATGGCAAATAAAATCACATACTGAATTATATAGATTTTTTTTAAAAAGCAGTCAGAGTTCATATGTTTAAGAAACATAAGCAGGAAATTAAAATGAAGATGTGTGCTATGATAAATGAACAAGATTCTTATTTTTCTTTTTTTAGTAGAGCCACAGCACCACCTACTGGCCATTTCTGCATAACACCAAAATTTAGAAAGAGCCAGCCCTGACATATAAAAAATATTCTTGGTATACTTTGAATTGTAGCTTCTGACCCTTGGCACAAAGAAATTAAAAAAAAATAGATTAAAAAGCATTGTTTTATTTATTTTAATTAGTGTATATATCATTACCCTTAGGTATACTTTCCTGATATAGAAAATATTTTCAATCAGCACAGGAAAGATTGCTTATTAAATATACACCTATTTTGGAAGACATTTGAGAAACGATAGCTACTATAAACTCAGTGTGCATTTTTAAACTATACCACATAATTTTTTATCTTATTGTAAGTCACATTCTTTTATTAACAGAGTACATTTCTAAACATGAAACGCGATAGAAATACATATAAAATCCTGCAAAAACATATGTAAACTAGACCTAGTTTAGAAAGCATTTGATTTCAAATTTATCTTTACATTTGATCTATTCATTATTCGATGGAATCTTTTTGGTTTTTGATTTGGGTTGACTGAATAAAGAACCTCTAGGCATAAAGAAATACTATGTGTAAATAGCATTGTTCTTTCATAAACATTCTGACTGTAGTGACGTTGCATTCATGCCCAGAATCTGCAACATTTGTAAAGCATTTAAAAAGAATCCTATTCTAATATTGTCCATAAACTTCGAGTCCTTTTAAATCCTCTTTTAGAATGATTAAAAACGTTGACCAATAAAGGCAAATCTTAATTATTACCTAATGAATGGTGAAAATAAATAGTTGGCCAATCCACTTTTTTCCCAAATGCAGTGATATTATCTTGGGAGTTTAGTATATTTACTTAAAAGGATTAGTAAAATATTCTCATATAAAATAAGATGAATAAAGTATTATTGACCTTTATTTTTTTACCCAGAATAGAAGCCACACCAATTCAATTATTTCTCAATTTAAACACAGAGTAGATTCCACCAGATATGACATTCTCAAAGCAAAGTAAAAGCATTCAATGTCTCTGGCTTGCCTGGCAGAATCAGAGGTCTAACCCTCCTTTAGAATAACTGGATGGTTCCTAAACCAAATAAAGTTAGAGAAGTGTTGTTTCCCCAAAAATGTGAGAGCAACTATAGAGAATAACATTAACTGTGTAAAAGAAATAAGTAGTGGTATGTATATTTTCTTATACGATAAAGCTGAGAATTCTGTTGAAGGAGGTTTATAAATTTTCAAGTCTCAGTGACAACAATGTCCTTTGAGATGTAGAACAATTAGAAAAACACTATGTGGCATCTTATGTAATATTTTCTCAGGATACTTGTTGACTAGGATATGTGGGGCTGCTTATTAAATGTCCTTCTCTTCTCTCAGTCTCACCTGTTCCGCCATGGCTACTTAGGGACATTGCTAGTTCTTCCTGGATTTGTTGATTAGGACATCTTTAATATACATTGTCACTGCAAAATTCTACCTGGAGTCAACACTAACTCCACATCTTTAACTGGTAGATATATCCCAGCTTTTAAAGATAGTTGTTATACCATTACCAGCTTTTGATTTGGGGCATAAGTTCACATTATCCAAGCAAAGTAAAGACAAGCTACTAAACATCAACACTGAAGGCACACTGCCATAAAATATTATTTGTAGGCCAGGCGCAGTGACTCATGCCTGTAATCCCAGCACTTTGGGAGGCCGACGTATGTGGATCAGCTGATGTCAGGAGTTTAAGACCAACCCGGCCAACATGATGAAACCCCGTCTCTACTAAAAATACAAAAATCAGCCAAGCATGGTAGCAGGTGCCTGTAATCCCAGCTACTCTGGAGGTTGAGGAAGGAGAACCACTTGAACCTGGGAGAAGGAGGTTTCAGTGAGGCAAGATTGCACCATTGCACTCCAGCCTGGGTGACAAGAGCAATACTCCGTCTCAAAAAAAAAATGTATATATATATATATATATATATATATATATATATATATATATATAATTTTTTAAATGATATATTGTATCTTAGAAAAATATGAACAGGATGCCATATTTTAAAAACAATTTTTATACATACTTATCATTAAAAATGTTTTCTTGATATGATCACATTTGCTCAATAGTTCATTTTTAATAGAGTGAAGCTATGTCTGTGATAAAACTACGCATGCTTTGATCTCCATCAATCTACTGACAACATGACAGAGTCAATACACTTGTAATTTATTTAAAGAGCTTTTCCTACCTTTAGTTTCCTTACAGCATCTCTCACAACTTCTGTTCCTTTTGGCTGTTCCACTTCTGTACTGCCAAGAAACTGAAAAGGGTCATTTGTGAGTCACAGGCTTTACTGCATTATATATCACTGAATCATGTTAAACTGTAAGAGTGCATAATAGAATGGTTTAATATAATGTAAACTCATATATTAAATATAAATATTATTTAGATTATATGAAAATATAACTATACTACTTTATAATTTATACTTCCTGTTAATCAAAGATTTTTTTTTAAACTTTTTTTTCTAAATATTTTACTTGAAGATTTTTACTGGAAAGAAAACTAAAGTTATTTTATTAGGCCCAAGGGAACAATGTTGATCTCAACGGTTAACATTTAGTAAACTTATTAAGTAATTAAAAATTATTTTTCCTTCAAAGCATGTAATTGTATTTTGTTACTATATTTAATATCAATAGTATATTTCACAGTTCATAATTTCAAGTAAATATTTTTCTTTGTTTTCCACTTATGAGACTCATCTAACATGTAGAATTTAAAATACAAGTGTCTTTTAATAGCCAATATATACAAATAAGTAAAGCTATAGGTAGACTAAAGAAATAAAACATACATGATCTACAATTTTACTGTTTTAAATAACCCTGAAGGTAGTCAGTAGGTGATATGGTTTGGCTGTGTCCCCAGCAAATCTCATCTTGAATTGTAGCTCCTATAATTCCATGTGTTATGGGAGGAACCTGATGGGAAGTAATTGAATCACAAGGGTGGGTCTTTCCCAGGCTGTTCTTACGATAGTAGGAGATCTGATGGTTTTATAAAGGGAAGTTCCCCTACATAAGTTCTTTTGCCTGCTGCCATGAAAGACATGACTTTGCTCTTCCTTCATCTTCTACCATGATTGTAAGTTTGCTGAGGCCTCCCCAGCCCTGTGGAACTGTGAGTCAATTAAACCTCTTTTTTTTTTTTTTTTTATAAATTAGTCAGTCTCAGGTATGCCTCAGGTATTAGCAGCATGAGAACAGACTAATACAGTAAGTGTGTTTAGTTAAAACCTGACCAATACATAAACTGAAAAAAGTTTCATAATAATTATCACACTGTAATGAAATCTCTACCTTGGAGAGACATAATACCTCCTAAACAGAAGTCTAACATCATTAAATGTACAATACCAAGTAGAACTGAAATATAGAGGTTTTATTTTAGAAAACATTGCTATAGACAGAGCAAATCAACATTAAATTCATGAAGTATATGTAATTTTCCAAAGCCCTTTTTTTTGTTTTTGCTCTTGTAACATACCACCAATTGTAAGACCAAGAGATTCATGAATTAATCATTTCTCCTATGTATGGACATAGGTGTCAATATGTGTTTGTAAACTTTACGTAAAGATACCATAAGCGGAATCTTTTTCATATATTAACTTACAGAATAGAAGGGAAAAAATAGTAAAGTCATACTATCTCTTATTCCTTCCTTCATTTTTGAACAACAACAACAAAAAACAGCCATTAAAGAAATTAGAGTTTTGATTTTCAAAATCAGCTTTCTGCACAACTGGCATGAGAATTACCTAGGGAGCTGGTTAAAATAAAAAAAAATACATGTTCCTTTGTCAAATAAATCAGAATCTTTAGAGGTAGGGTAAGGGAATTATATTTCTAGAAGCATTGCAAGTGACTCCTTGTACTGAAGTCCAATGAACAGGGTTACAAACAGTTAACAGGCCATGTGGATAGCGGAAGGTAGGTACCAAGGTGAACTGAAAATACAGGCTATAACTGCTGTTTCATTTCTGATGAACTCATGGAGGATAGAGAGTAAAGCACTACTGTACTGAGGAAAGGAGAAGTTTCACTTTTCAGATTCTGTAAGGTACAACAGTTCCTTTTTTTTTTTTTTTTTTTCTTTTTTGGAGACGGGCATTTTTCTCTGTTGCCAGGCTGGATTGCTGTGGTACAATCTCCTTTCAACTGCAACTTCCAACTCATTGGTTCAAGTGATTCTCCTGCCTCAATCTCCCTAGTAGCTGGGATTATAGGCATGCGCCACCACACCCAACTAATTTCTGTATTTTTAATAGAGACAGGATTTCACCATGTTGGCCAGGATGGTCTTGATCTGACCTCGTGATCTGCCTGCCTCAGTCTCACAAAGTGCTGGGATTAGAGGCCTGAGCCACCACACCCAGCCAACAGTTCCTTTTTCTAATATGCTTTAACTATACCAAACTAACAGGCCTTCCATAAGATATCAACAGACTTTCAGTTTGCCCCACTGTGACCTCAAGTTGTTGGTTGACCAGGCATGCATAAAAGACCAAAGCGAATGAGAAATTTTAAGCTGAAAAGGAAATGAAATCCTGCTACCAAGATTGGCAGACAGCCACATCTATTCCTGACACCAATGGCCCTGTCACATTTCTCCAGTTTTGGATGAGTGTTTTCAACCTTGATTGCATGACGGAATCACAGGGGGCACTTTAGCCAGGTGCAGTGGTTAGAAAACCTACAGGCAATAGTTAGTTCCAGCTACTCAGGTGTTTGAGGCAAGAGATCTGTTCAAGCCCAGAGTTTGAAGCCAGCCTGAGCAACGCAATGAGATCCCGTCTCAATTAAAAGAGAGAGATAATGAATCACACTGGAAGCTGGAAGCTTACCAATGCCCGCAAGTCTGATTTGACTAGTCTAGGGCAGAATCAGGACAACATCTATATATTTTAAAACTCCCTAAGTGATATTAATGTGCCACCAAGTTTGAAAAGCACCATATCAGATCATCCAGAAAGTCAGAAGAGTTCAAATAACTGAAGGGAATTTAACATAATAGTAGCTATTTAGTTCTGAATACATCCCTGGGGTAAACTGTTCTCAACTTATCTGAATTTATCATATCACTGAGGGATTCATGATTAGTGGGTGGTCTAGGATTAGCAGGAGCAGAGAAGCAAAGGCGGATCCTTTATACGTAAGTAATTCTTGAACTAGAAGAAGGCAGGGTCAATAATAGACTGTAAGTGTTACTGGCAATATTTCTGGAGGAATATTCATACTTCAGCAGAAATGTCATGAGTCAAAAGCATTATATGCAAATAAAGCCATAGGGGAAAAGTATGGAAGAACTCCAAGTATGTTCAAAATGAATAAAACTCTCACTGTGCTCCCAGGAACCTTTTAACATGTTTCTTTCACACTCGCTTTAATTAAATCCTTTGAGTAATGCAACACTGGGAGAAGCCTTGAGTAATGATGGGAATTAAATTAAAATATATCTTAATATGGAGTTTGCTATTTAACCCAACTTTTTCTTATGCAATATTAAAAAACCTATAGGACAATCATTTTAAAACTAAAAAATAGTTTATTCCTTATTATACATTTTGTATTTTTTAAATTATAAAATATCATGATACACAGATTAAATAATTCATATTTAAATGCATTTCTTATGCCTATCTAAAATATTTATAAAACTCTTAGATATAAAGTAGCATGCTAGAACAAACTCTAAATTTAGAGGCTGAAGATGTTAGAAAAGTCCCCCAATTTCTGCCTTGTCTTACTCTTTTTAAAGATAAGGATAATAATGGTGTTCTCTCCTTATAAAATCATTCTGAAGAGCAATTGCAATAAGTGATGAAAAAAGGAAATCTCTTTAAACTGCAAGGTGTTTATGAGGGATTGCCATTCCTTTATCAAATTATTGTGAGGGGAAGATACTAGGGTTTAGTGGACACAGCTGGTGCCTCCTGCTCAGTTCTCCTGGGATCCACTTTATCAACTCAGACATTCACCTTCCAGCTTCCACATGCTTTGCTGGTAATGACTCACACTCAAGACCTCCAGAGTATTCCCTTTGGGCAATGAAGTCAAAGTCACCTTGCCAGTATTGAGAGCTAGAAGCATATGGGAGTTTTTTTTTTTTTATCCCCCATACTCACACCGTCCATCAATCACACTCTTTAGCCAACGACTGACTTGGCTTCTTTGTTTGGAGGTTAGGTAAGCACTAAGTATAATGTTATGATGCAGAGTTTACCATGGAATTAGGCTAATGCTGAGGCTTTCAGCTGATATGTATTCTTCCTTCATTTCTTCTTCTTGTACGGCTCTGCTGTTCCTAGTCATTTACTGATTTTTTGGGGGAGTACTCCCTTAATAAATCATATGCACTTAAATCTTTTGCCTTGGGGTCTAGTTCTGGGAAACACTTGCCTAAGACACTGGGTAAAGACTTACATGCTTATGTTCCAGGGACATATAGTCTGGTGTATAAACCCATAAATCACTGTCCTAAGTGCCATCGAAAGGCTCATACAGAGGAAACAAACTTAGATTTTTATCTTTTCCACTCTGCCTGATTCCTGGAGGATGAAACAAAAAATGGAATAATGCCCTGACCAGAGAATTAATATACCCTATTCCAACAGAAGAGTTGTTAACTAGCTGAAGAATTAGGCTTGGGAGCTCTAGGCTGCAAAATGCTAGGCATGGCTGGGAGCAGAAGTGAGGCACCGAACTGACAAAGATACTAAGCAGAAGTCCACATGCAGAATTGAAAGACCCGTAGACTCCTTTCTCAGCTTGGCTCTCAGGATACTAGCTGCTAATCTTATAAGTCTCCAAGCAAAATAATTTTTCCCTGGAGAAAACAGCCCAAGAAAAACAAGACAACCTATGCTGACAGTTAAAACTTCCAAGTGAAATAGGTGGGTCACCTGATCAGTCAGTGGATGACAAGCCCTGCTCAAATACACAGAGCAGCCAGTTGGCTTTTGAGTGACTCAGTCTTAAACATCAAAACACAGCAAATATGTGACTATATTAGAGAAAAGTCTCTCACATGAAAAGTAGAGGAAAGGCAAGAAGAAAAAAGATGGCTAATACTCTACAATCAATATAAATATACTGCATTCATAATAAAAACAACATGCTAGAAAAAGTAGTGCATATAGAACGAAAGAGAGTTGACACTTAAAAACATGACTCAGGCAATTAAAAATAATAATACTAAAAGACAAAGTTGGAAAAAATTACAAGAAGTAATTATTAAATGCTTACTGTTTTT